CATGAGATGACTGAGAAGTCGATGGTGGTTGTCAGATGAGGATGAGTTGACGCCATGAGATGACTCAGAAGTCGATGGTGGTGGTCTTGGTACCGAGGCTGTCAGTATAGGGTCAGCATCTGATTGGATAGATACAGAGAAATGTTCCATATCATAGTCGTGAGGACCGGAGTAAAGCATGGTAGTCTGTACTGAGGAGCGGCTCCTGTGAAGCTTGAGTTGTTTAGGAGGTCTGGAGGGCATCGGCATCATCAATCTCTTTCGGGATGGTGCAGCTTGGGGGATGGAAACATCCCCTTGGTATTGCAACGAAGTCAGATGCAGGAATATTGTACGGAAGGGTACCAGGGTGGTGGCGGGTAGCCCGACCCGCTGTATTGATCATGGTAGCCATAGCCTTGGTATGGATAGGGATGATATCAGTCAGGATATGGATGACCATACTGAGGTAAACCCTCTGGATGGTAATATTGCTCTTCAAGCCCGGAAGGCTGGTATGGAGAGGCATGTTTGCATTTCTCTTTTCTTTTCCTAGGCATGCATGGTGCAGACTCCCGTTCCGATTCAGTCTTGGTATCTGCTCGCCCTGAGGATCGAGGGCTGAAAGGGGCTATGGCCAGGCTGGACGGTGCAACAGCCCCAAATCGGCCCGAACTCTGAGACATGCTCAGAATGTCATGAGCTTGTTGGGCTGGAGGTATGGCACGTTCCTCCCTGTCGGAAAGCCCACTATCTTCCCTCGAAAAATCCTGCACTGGCATAGGAGGCATGGAAAGAGGAGCAGTAGCTGGTTTGGCTAATTCCTTTTGCCTCTTAGGCTTCTCCTTGTCCTTCCTCTTATTTGCAGGATCAACAGACCGCGGTTGAGCCTTGGTGGAAGCTGGCTTAGGCGGTTTTTTCGAGTTCTTGGATTTAGCAGGTAAAGAAATTGTGCTGGATAAGGACTGGTCAATAGGGCTAGTAGCTGATTTAGCAGCCTCCTGGCGAGGAGGGTTTGAAGAAGGAAGTGTTGTAACCTCCATAGTAGGATTCAGAGATTTCTCGTAGAGAAAATATCTCAGTCGTTGGAGTCGTAGCTTAATAACCTGCTTGGAAAAATTCCTGCACGCGGTGCATGACTGGGTGTAATGGGATTCCCCCAGACAAAATAAACAGAGGTTGTGCCCATTTGTAAGAGGAATTTGTCTGAGACAAACGGAGCACTTCTTAAAGCCCTGAGGGGCCATAAAACAAAAAGAAAATAAAAGGAGGGGAGAGATAATAGAATGCGAAAAAGGAGAAAACTGGAGGTTCTATCATTGAACAACAAACTAGAATAGTAGAAAAATACAAAAAAGGTTCAAAAAGATAGATTTAGCAACGCTAAAATCACTTTCCTTTGCGCTTTAGTTCCTAACGTCCTACTCGAATGGTGGAAAAGAGGAACTGAAAGGAAGGTTGAGTAGGCGGAGCTCATACCCTGCAGGAGGGGGGGAACTAATTGTCTCTTTTTTTCCTCAGCTCTAGAATCTTCTGAACATCCTGTGGAGATGCAGGATAAACCCATTTGTGTGCATTCACAGAGGCCACTACGAAGAACCATGGCTGTACACATAGACATTACCAAACAGTCAACAGAGAAATCAAACAGACTATGTAATTGGAAAATGGAGATGGAGAAGCTGTGTTCTCTCCGACAACATGAAACCATGAATGGACTGTGGTACTTATCATGAAGTATTTATATCCAACACTAAAGCTGAAAAAGAACACTAAAAGACTTGTAGTGCCAAAATATAATTTAACATTTTTGATGAATTTAAAGTCTGCATAAGGAGCAGAACTGCATTACTAAATTCAACTAACTATGAACCAGAAGAACTGTGGATTGAAAGCAGAGACATTATTAGGGAAGAATGCAAAAAAGACCATTCCTGTAATAAAACAAAACGAGGAAAGAAAAATCTAGGTAAGAAAAAAAATTGTAAAGTACAGGCAAGAAGTGAAAGTAAAAGGTGACAGAAATAGGGTCAGAATCCTGTATGCAGCTTTCAGTGACTATCACACAGAAAAAAGAGAGAAAATTATTACAATAACCAATGTGAAGAAATAAAGGAGAACAAAAAAGGGGGAAAACCCAGAAATCTCTTCCTGAAGATCCAAGAAATCAAAGGGAAGTTTAAACCTAGATTACGAATGCTGAATGACCCAACAGGGAAGCACATGATCTGACCAAGACTGAATAAAGAGAAGTTGGAAAAAAACATACTGAAGACCTATACAGAATAGATGAAAGGATGACAGACTCCTTTGAAGAGGAATCCTATGATGAAGAACCTGCAGTTCTAGAAAGTGAAGTGAAAGCTGCTTTGAAAGCACTGGGAAGAAATAATTCACCAAGAATAGACTGAATACTGATAGAATTATTTTAAGCCACAGAGATGGAATCTTTCATACTCCTAACAACAATATGCAAACAAACATGGAAAACAAAACAATGACCCATAAACATGAAATGTGTTAATCCTAAAGCCATGAAAACTGGGCCTTCCCACAAATGAAGATGATGTCTGAATTTGACCCAGTGTCAACCTCGAAGGCTTGTCAAATTTGAGTAACTAAGGGAAAGTATTGCAGAAGAATCAAAAAGTATGATTCCCTGATTCTTTTTGGTTTTTTAAAGATAGCTGTGCTCCCTCTCAGAAGGCAACAACCAAAGGCAGAGTTGAAGAAATTTGAAAACAACAACAACAACAACAACAACAACAACAACCACCCACAACTCTCTGTATGGCTATGAGTAATGGATGGAAGTTTACAACCTCAGCCTGAAAGACTGAATCCTAAATTTAGGAAAGTGTGAAATGCTATTGCCCTAAGAGCTTTTCTAGCTAAACCAGAGGAATAAATCTTAAGCAGAAAGGAGGGGGGGCAAAATTCACAGACAACCAGACAGCAAGAAAATGGAAACCTGACTGTGTTATATTAACAGCTTGGAAAGCACTGAGAGAATGATGACCCCAACATGAAAGTTTGTTCAGCTTCATTGGGAAGAAAAAGGACGACATGTGGGCAGAAGGTGACTGGGATGATTAAAAGGGAGGGAGAAGGACTTTGAGGACCTCAAGAAATGTAAGGGAGAATCAATGCACAATGCATCTTTGGGAACATAAGTGGCACTGCTTAAAGGAAAGTAAATTGAAAGATCAATCCCTATCCCTCTGGGCAGTAAGCAAGCCACTTTTGTGTCTTCAGTAGCATCTAGCACACCAGTAAATCTTCCAGTAGTTTAAATACAAGGCAAACACTGCCTTATGGTTCTATTTAGAAGCAATGCTGATGATGAAACCATTTTTAATGTATGAAACTACAGGATGTAGATGAGTGGGTAGGATGCTGAGGGCTCCTATGCATGCCTAAAGGAGGAGTGTCTTTTTTATCTCCAGAGCAACCCCTTTGTTGTGCATCAAACATCACAAGAGAGGCCCCTTGAGCTTTTTGAACTGGCTTTCCGTTAAGCACAAATTCACACTACTCTTTTTGCATCGTGATCAAGAACTATCAAGGGTGATGTGCAAATGCATGGTGGGGCATGCACACACCCATCCTTGGCCACTTTGATCCAGAAACCCAAAAGGGCACATTCGCCCTTTGATCCAAAAACCCAAAAGGGCTTCATCCAGCTTGTGCGTGCAGGCATCTGCTCATACTACAGGGCTTTCCCTTCCTCTCCACCTCCCTTTAACTCCCACTGACCCTAAAATCTCCTCAGAAGGGTCACCAAATCTATCAGCATGCAGATTGGGTCTCACAGAGGACTTGGGGAGGGTCTTTTTTCCTGCTAGCAAAGTCCTCTCCTCTAGCAGTAAGCAACCCTGGATACAATCCACACAGAACTTTGCAACCCAACAGGCAGAAATTTCCTTTGAAACATTAAAATTTTTTCTTATGTGGAAAATACATGCTGGGAATGTTTCACTTACTCAGTCCCTAGTAAGTCTTTATAAAATTGTTGACAGAGTGATAGGAACACTAATGTACAAAGGTGAAAAAACATATACAGTAAAACCCATGGTATACAGACTGAAACTACCAGGTTTTTTAAATGTCCCAACTGAACTTACATACTTGCTTAATTTATAAAACCACCAAAACGACTCGCTCCCTTTGCTGCTGACAATCTCTCTATATTTAAAAAAAGTTGCAGTGGACACGATTCTTACCTTAGGACCTGATGATAATTACAAACGCTGGATTTAGTGTAAACAGGGACTTCCTGAATGTTCCCTCCGAAGCCTGAAGCATTTTTTTGCTGTCACTGTGCTGTAGCTGAAAGATATTGGCTCAAATCCTGTTGCTTAGTGTAGCAAATCACAGTAGAGGAGGCCTACTGAATCAGTGGAGATTTGGTGGGTTCCATTGGTTGAAACAGGTCTACTCTAGTTGTAATCTACTATGCTAAAGTAAGTCACAGGCGGAGTAGGGTCATTCATTTAAAATCAATGGAAAGGAAGAAGAAAGTCTCTCACCAAACCTCAACTAATTCGATGGGCTTACTTTAGTGGAATTTACTACACTAAGCAACAGAATTTTGGCAGTTGTGTCAAGACAAGAATATGTGGCCCTCCAGATGTCATTTGACGGCAATTCCCATCAGGCATTCTCAACAGATGGACAACCAAACCGTGCCAATCACCATCTAGTGAGCCCCTTCCAGTTACTGCAAGGACTTGTTTCTTCATTCTTTCGCTCTCTCTCCCTCAGTCACCCCAAACAAACTTAAATCTCTGCACTGACTGGGATGCTGCTTCTCAAATTATGCTACAGGGTCACTGCCTGAGCATTACTTCTAAAGAGGGAACTCTCAGAAACTCTGCTGCATGTGACGAATCTGTGATGTGGCCACAGCAAAGACACAGGTGCAGCTTCATCCCCTTCAACAACTCAAAACTGTCGAAGCAGCCAAATGTTATCGCTAATGCAAACTAAACAATCTAAAAATCATTTGCAAGTGTATGTACCTTAGCCAGCATGGCAAGATGTTGGTTCTGAACGATGGCAGTGCGGTACGTTGCTAACCCGCCTTCCTCCAAGCTTGGGAACAGGTAGTACAAGTGGACACTGGAAACAAATGGCAACCAACCGTGTTAAAAATGAAGTGATATTAATGAGAACACATGCATTTAAGAAGTGTTGCCACTGCCTATGGGACTCTCCCATATTTTCTGACATAAAACAAGGCAGATGAGATGGCACCTTACTTTAGAATGGTGCTTAAGATAATAAACCAAAACCAGCAGGAATTCACTAAAAGTGTGCAAACTAAGGAGGAAAATCCTCAGAATGCTAGTAAATGTTTTACAGTCTGTCTTGTTTTCCTATTTGGATAAAGCCCAAGCCATTTTGGTCCGATATTCTTTTCAGGGTCTTCTTCGGGGGTAAAAGTAAATAACTACAACACATTTTAATAAATAAAGCACATCCAACACATGAAGATATAGAACATTATTCTTTTCTTTAAAGCATGAGTAAAGTATACAGTAAAATATAATAAATCATAGTAAAACTATTAATAAAACCCAGCTGCCTACACTTCAACGAAACAGAACTGGTTGAAAATAAAAGGAGAACTGAAGGCTTTAGACACAGTGTTTATCTAGATAAGAAAATAAAACAGACTAAAAGATGATTACTGGCATTCTGAGGATTTTCCTTCTTGGTTCGTAGTACACTTGTCTTACGACCATTTCCCACTCCTGCTGTACTTCAGAAACACCCCCTTCTCAGAAAGCTGCTTTGCTATAGGCAAACTTGCTGGGATCACGCTCGGGTATGTTTGAGTCAATGAGGTAGTTTCCTGACCAAGGGAATGCTGCCCATCCTTCTTCTCTCCTGGGTAAATATTTGCATGGGAAGAAACCATATTTTTGGCTCCAGCCATTTCTCTTCCAATGGCCACAGAAGTGTGTGGAAAGCTACTGTGAGGAAGTGGCTTTGAGAATACAGTAAGAACATATAACAAGATATCTGTGAAGATTCCCAGTCATCCAGATGAAGTTATCTGGAAGTTGAGTCATGGCAACTGGATTTCTTTCTTATTAGGTTGAAGTGTTTCGCTACTCATCCAAGTAGCTTCTTCAGTCTGAGAAGAGTTGGTAGGAGATATCTGATATATTCTCCATGTTGATTGCACTTCCCCTGGTCTGAACAAGCTCAATGGATGGACAAAAGATTGGGGGCAAGTGAAAATCCCACTTCTGCAGTCCTTCTCCTTTTGTCAAAGGACAAAAAACACTTCTCTGATGATCAGGATGTCATAGAGTCATAGAGTTGAAACTGATCACTGAGGCCATCTAGTCCAACCCCCCGCCATGCGGGAACATCCATCAAAGTACTCCCAACAGATGACCATCCAGCCTCTGCTTGAAAACCTCCAAATAAGGAGACACCACCACCCTTCAAGACAGCCTATTCCACTGCTGGACAGCTCTGACAGGAAGTTCTTCCTAATATTCAGATGGAATCTCTTTTATGTGCATATAGAAAATCGAACGATGAGATACAGTAGGTAGTTTGAGAGAGGGGCCAGGGAGACCATACATGTGCATATAGAAAATCCCTCACTCAACAGGGATGGAGGCCTTAGATAGTCTCTCCCCTATTTATCATTCAGCCCTTTCATGTTTCCCCAGAAAGATCAGGACTGCACACCAGAAAGACCGCTGTTAAGACCCAAGACAATGGGTGGAAGAGGACTGCAGAAGTGGGATTTTCACTCACCCCCCAGTCCTTTGTCAGTGTAATGAGCCCCTCCGGACCAGGGGGAAGTGAAACCAATGTGGAGGATATATCAGGGGTCTCCTACCAATTCTCCTCAGACTGAAGAAGCTACTTGGATGAGCAGCAAAACATTTCAACCTAATAAGAAAGAAGTCCACTTGCCATGACTCTACTTCCAGATAATACAGCTTTTACATCAGAAAGTTTCACACAAATGCTTCCCCCCCCCACCTCAACAAATGCACCTTGGTCATTGCCCAAAATTTAAAAGGTGGAAAAACCACAATATGAGCATATAGGAAAGTCATGAAGAGGTGGATGCATTTTGTGTGGCATTCCCCAGTGCCTCCAGTAAGCTCTGCAACCTCTCTCTACTTGATATAACAAGTGTTTTTACATCAAAAAGTTTTACACAAATGCTTCCCCCCCCAACACATAAACCTTGGTCTCTGCCCAAAATTTAAAAACTGGAACCACAATATGAGTATGTAGGAAAGTTGTGAAGAGGTGGATGCATTTTGTGTGACATTCCCCAGTGCCCCCAGTAAGCTCTGCAACCTCTCTCTACTTGTTCCTTTCCTACCAGAATTGGGTCATCATCACAGGTAAATTCAGCGCAACAGCTCTAAATCATTGTGCTGCATTCAAACCAGTCTCCTAGGCTCTTTACCAAGGAAATTTACTTTATTTACCATATTTATTTAAAATATTTTACCCCACCTTTCTCTTTAAAAACGACCGAAGGTGGCTTATATCATTAAAAGACAATTTTTAAATCTAACAATAGTAAGTATGCAGATACTAAAAAGGATCAAACAAATACCACACTAAAAAATGGTAAACAGAAGCAATACCAAAAACACATTCAAAGCAGCATTTGAAAACACTTCTCCCATTTATTTTAACCTTCAATTATCAGTTGCAAGAATCTCTTCTTTTCCTTTCTTATTCTGGCTTTCAGCATTTTGTGAGTTCTATAATTTCTTAGTCTTTATCCGTTCCTCTTTGTCAACAAAATGTACAATAACTAAGACAGAGCACAGACACAAACACAGGCATCTGCTGAGGAAAATATCTCAGCGCTCTGTCCCTGCAAACCCATGCCTCATTGTAATACCACTTGGGAGTATTTCTCTCACACGGAATTTGCACTGTTACCCTTCACTTGCTTACGCAGACATCGAGCCCACCTAAGGTCACAGCCACATACTCTTAAGTAAGTTTATAAAGGACAGCAGCCTGAGTAGAAGTTCTTGCTAAGAACACATTATATTTCGCCTTCAGATTGCAAGAATTTTCACTGTGAAAGTTCACAGTGCAATTCACAGGTCACATCAGGAAAAGTTGTACATTCACAGTGCCAATTTTCACGCCTCAGAAAACTGCACACAAAAAAGGGACTGTGGAGGTTCAATGCAAACATAAATACATGTAAGAGCTTGTTTTTGAGCATTAAATAAATCTGCTATCTTCCAGCACCTATTATTTTAGGGGATAAAAGCCCAGACACAAACTAATGCAAACAAAACCAAGCAAAAAGCTGCTCATCGAGAGCTGGCTGTTGAAAGGCACTGAGGCAATTTTTCTTTTCTTTATCTGTAACATCTTAACACTTTGAGAGCCCCTCTTTAAATAAACTGACTACTTTTCCCATTACAAGTGGACACACCTGAGATCTGGAAATGGTTTTCAAATCTGCTACTGTGAATGTTTTGATATCGCTTTCTGTCATAAATGACACTTATCAAGAAAATGGCTCCTGTTTTTTACTAGACCATAAAAAGTCAATTTTGTCTTATTTTACCCCCATTTTTCAATACTTTTGAAATGAGCGTACAGAGGAAAAATTGGAGTGATCTTCTATTAACTGGGAATATTTTAGTGATTTATTTTTCAAATTGCGAATATATGAGCATAGCTGCATCCAACCACAAGAAAGGCAGGATGCCAAGGGTGGCTTTATGAATTCTGGATTAATGAATGATAGCCCTGCAACTGCAGAGGGGAACTCTACCCCCTTCAAAGTTTACTTGTAAACACACATCTCACCTAAGATTATAGGCAGAAAGATCAAGGAGCTCCATGACAAGAAAATGACACCTTCTAAAATGATGTATTCCTTTTATTTCCTGGCTATAAACTTTGAAGCTTTGGCCCCAGACTAGCCGTTCTCCAGAGCAGTTATGAGCAACTTTTAAATTACATCTGACAGGACAGAGACATCAAGCTTTTCATCTTTTAATATTACACTTTAGAGACTGAGCATGGTGTGGAACTTCAAAAAGCTATGTGGACAGGCAGCCTTTCAAGCCACAGCAAGGATGTGGCCCTGCAATCTAAAATGCCACGGTGTCTGCTCTTTCTTTCAAACGCCTTCTAAATTTTTATACACTGAAAAATGATTAACAGGAGCAACCAGATAGTTAATTTTTTCAAGCAAGACATATGGCAGAATTTTGATCAATCAGAGTGGATACTCAAAGGTTGGAACTGGATATTTAGAGAGAAGTGCATCTGATGCTTAGAGGGACATCTCTGTGTCTCCTCTTCTGTGGAAACACTGAGAGCCAGCGCCATGGTTAGCACTGGTTTAGGCCTTCATAGGTTCTAGCCCCAACTGAGCCGTGAAAATCATGGAACCACTTTGGGCCAGTCCATCTCCTTCAGCCTAGATCAGAGATGGCGAACCTTTTTGGCCTTGCGTGACCTAACTAGGGGGAAAAAAACCAAAAATCCGCGGGCAGCAGTGGAACCAGAAGTGGTGGTGGTGGAAGAGGGAATCCCGGGCACGGAGGTGCCTTGAGACCCAACTCCAGATCTGCCGCCAGTGCCAGCTGTTCCAGATCTTGGCCCACCGCCCTGTCGAAGGGGGGGGAGGAGCGATCCAGTGACTTATAGCTCACGTGCCTGAAAAAAGGGGTCTGCATGTCAGCTGTAGCACGCGTGCCATAGGTTCGCCATCACTGGCCTAGAAGGGGTCTGCATGTCAGCTGTAGTACGCGTGCCATAGGTTCGCCATCGCTGGCCTAGATAATCTCACAGAGTTGCTGTCAAAAATAATGTCAGGAGGAGAAGCCCTTATCTGCATCTTCCACTGGAAGAAAAGTGGGATGTAAACTTGGCAAATAATTAAACCTATATAATGCCTGTGGTGGCAAAGCATGCAATGTTTATCATTTGCACTTAGTCGAAGGAGGGAAATGCTGAGGCAACGTAAAGGAGGTGAGAAAAAGACCTGATGATTTGAGAGAAGCCCTATAGAATCTTATCCCAGGGACAGTCAGCAGGGATTGCCTTTATTAAGAACAGCAACCTTCTGTTACTCTCTGCTGTTCACCAAGGAATAGCAAATAGATTCAGATTTCTAGTATTGAAACAGTGATGAGCAAAGCATGGCGCAGTGGTTAAAACGCTGTACTGCAGCTAAAACTATGCTCACGACCTGGGGTTCAAATCCCAAGCAAAGCATGAACATAAACGAAATGACAAAGCAGATTCTCCTGTATATTTACACTCACTAACAATCTCTTTGGATTATATCCACCTTCTCAGACCACTACCATAAGACAGTCTTCTATATAAGACTATAAGACTGTCTTGGGCTTCTTTATTTCTCCTTTTCGCTGACTCTTCAATACAAACAGAAAGGCACATCTGAAGTTCCAGATCTTGGCATGGTCTAGACATAGCTTGGGCTTGAGTGACCCATACACCCCTCTGGCAAAAACCAGCAACGAAGATTCTAGATTAATCTTACTTCCCAGTTACCGTATTTTTGGCACCATAAGACGCACTTTTCCCCCACAAAACAAGGGGGTGGAAAGTCTGTGCGTCTTATGGAGTGAAGAAAACAGATTCCCCTCTGAAAAAAACCAGCAATGAAGATGAAAAGGACTTCAATTCTAGATTAATCTTACTTCCTACTTATATTCAGCCACGGAAAACTTTGGTTAATATGTTGAGCGAGGACACCAGAATGATAAAACATAAACGTTTCAGCCTTGTCAGAGTTTCTACCTGCAAATGTTTCAGGTAGCAGTGGTTAGTTTAAAACGGTGAGTGAATCAGTGTGTGTTTTTAACTTCCTCCTCTGGAGTGCAAAAGGAGAAGACCATTCTGAGGTTTGTAACACTAAGCCATGGTTTTGTATAATGTCCAAACTTGCAACTTCTTTTCAAATGTAGGATCTTGATTCTGTGATACTAAAGGAACCTTTTGATATACTTCGAGGTGAAGTCTAACGTTGCAACTCACTGTACAGCAAATATTTAAGAAATTTCATGGGAAAGCTGGCCAACACTTGATTCAGGACCTGATTGTGATTTTCAGGACCATCCTGACAATATTCCTACATCTGACAAATGTTAGAATATTTAGAATTAGACCTGATTTCCAAGTTTTTCCCTGAACAAATGGACTTATTTATTTATTTGTTTGTTTGTTTATTTATTTTATTTTATTTTATTTATATCCCGCCTATCTAGTCACTTAAGACCACTCTAGGCGGATTACAACAAGCGTAATACAATATAAATAAAACAATTTTAAATAAGGGGAGAAACTTTACCATGGAAAACTTTGGTTAATTTGTTGAGTGGGGACACCAGAATTATAAAACATAAACATTTCAGCCTTATCAGAGTTTCTACCTGCAAATGTTTCCGGTAGCTGTGGTTAGTTTAAAATGGGGAGTGAATCAGTGTGTGTTTTTAACTTCCTCCTCTGGAGTGCAAAAGGAGAAGACCATTCTGAGGTTTGTAACACTAAGCCATGGTTTTGTATAATGTCCAAACTGGCCACTTCTTTTCAAATGTAGGATCTTGATTCTGTGATACTGAAGGAACCTTTCGATATACTTTGAAGAGAAGTCTAACCTTGCAACTCACTGTACAGCAAATATTCAAGAAATTTCATGGGAAAGCTGGCCAACATTTGATTCAGGACCTGATTGTGATTTTCAGGACCATCCTGACAATATTCCTACATCTGACAAATGTTAGAATATTTAGAATTAGACCTGATTTCCAAGTTTTTCCCTGAACAAATGGACTTATTTATTTATTTGTTTGTTTGTTTATTTATTTTATTTTATTTTATTTATATCCCTCATGGGAAAGCTGGCCAACATTTGATTCAGGACCTGATTGTGATTTTCAGGACCATCCTGACAATATTCCTACATCTGACAAATGTTAGACAGAATATTTAGAATTAGACCTGATTTCCAAGTTTTCCCCTGAACAAATGGATTTAAAAACAGATTTCAGATTTAAAGATTTTTTTTTGCACTAGGTGCTGTCTACATGACTTTTTACAAATGTATTTTTATGCTGCCTCTTTGAACAATAACAATAAAATCAATCAATTCATTAAAAAAAGCAGTGTGGTTTCTGCAAGGGCATCTATTCTCCATCTGCAAACCAGAAACCAAGTGACCTCGCACATAGGAATATAAAAGGGGGAAAAGGCAATGTGAGTTTTATCCTTGGCATAAAAAGAAAGGCTCCATGAATGTCTGTGTGCATTTTAAAAAAAGGGCAGAAATGTTTTGTGCTTCCTTTCTAGATGACAACAAAACAAAACCAGAGTCAGCTGCAAGAGGATGCTTTTCAGCCACCAAATAGCCCAACATGAAATGGAATGGTTTTGATTTTTCAATAAGCGGTGGCTTTTCAACATGAGCCATGAACACAATACTTACCTAGTTAAAAATTCAACCACAGCATCTCCCAAAAACTCCAAACGTTCATTGTGATTAATCCTACAAAGAAGAAGATTGTTACAAGTGACCTTAAGACTTTAGTAATTAGCAAGTGGAAAAACAACTGCCAATTCATTCTTTGGGCAATAAGCAGAAAAAGTTAGGCCCCTGCTGTTTTCCTCCTTTAATGCTATATGCTTGCAAGCACAACAGTGAATATTTCAGTTTCTTCCGCACTGCACAATCACCACAGGAAGCCTGAAAGGAAGTAAGGTTGGACATAATTTGGTGTCAACTTATTAGCAAAAAAGAGAGGAAAATCTAACTGTGTGCAACAGCATGCTGAGACCAACTTTTCTGTGTACTGCCATGACTGTTGATGATTTAAAAGAGATGTCATCTCCTAGGCTTTCTTCAGATTTTTAGCTCTGTGCCCACAGGATTTAAAAAAAAAAAACACTTGCAGGGAGTTTTTACACATCATATTTAAATGCAAGCTTTGTCTATTTCTTTTCCTGCACTCTCAGACAGAATGTCCCTGAAAGGGAATGGGTCATTGGTGAAGCCCATTCTTTCCGTGCAAAATACCTGTTTTCAATCCTTGCTATTTCCAGGTAAATCTGAGGGGGAAAACCCTGTCTGAAACCCCTGAGAATAGCTGCTAGTCAATGTGGGCAATACTGAGTTAGATGGACTGATGCCATGACCCTCTTAAAGACAGTTTTGTATGTTCCTGTGTAGGCCCGTGAACATTTTCTGAAAGTGTTTTACTGGAACACAGAAAAAAAGAGCAATTACTTTGGGGCCTAAAAAGAAATAGCAAAGTTAAAAGCATACAAAGATCAAGAGAATTCTAACAGCCATGTCATGAGGGAGGCAGCCCACCGAGGCCAAGGCTGTGTACTAGGATCCACAGATATGTTCTGTGGTGATCAGAGATTCCGTCATGTCAGTCAACAACCCAGAAACAAAATGGCACCCCAGCGTGGCCTGTATTGGGACGTGGCATCTGTTTCCTGGGAGCAGGAAAGGAATCCTACAAACACAAGCCTGCTTCACACTCTTACACTGCAGTGACACCTTGCAGAGTAGCAGGCGAGTGACATGGAGAGCAGAAAGTTAGAAAACTGCCCCTGCCCCCAATGAACCCTAAGAGAAGCACCCCAAACAGGCAACATGTTCTTCCACGTCCTGCTTGTACTGTTTAACTGCAAATCAAGCATAAACCTCAGAAGTTTAGATTCTCTAGTCAAATTAAGTAAGAGCAGGAGAGGGGGAGAGAATTGTGTAATTGATTAGAATCCACTGTTCATTTCCACCAGGAAGAGGAGTTAGCCCCTCATCCCCATTGTTTTACAGGCGTGCCCCACTGGACGATTATCCCGTATAATCCTCATCTCCATTGTTTTACAGTCGTGCCCCGCTGGACGAAACCACTTCACAACGATGCGATCACAAAACGATGGTTTAAATTGATTTAATCCACTTCACGATGATCGGTTCCCTGCCTCGGGAACCGATTTTAGCATTACGACGATCTAAAATGTTTTTTTCACTGTGCGATGATCGTTGGGTTTCAAAATGGCCACTGGCTGAAGAAAATGGCCCCCCGCTGTTTTTAGGATTGATTTTTCGCACTACAGGCACCGAAAATAGCCGCCCCTATGGAGGATCTTCGCTGGACGAGCAGGTATTCAGCCCATTGGAACGCATTGAACGGTTTTCAATGTGTTTCAATGTTTTTTTATTTTGTTTGATGACGTTTTTGCTCTACAGTGATTTTGCTGGAACGAATTAACGTCGTCAAGCGAGGCACCACTGTATATTAAAGCAACAATCACCACAACTGTTGTAATTTGTATTAAAATACTAATTGTGTGCCATCAAAGTGTTGACTTATAGTGATCCTTTTTGGGGGTTTTACAGGTAGAGAGAACTCAGAAGAGGTTTACCATTCCCTCGTTCTGGAAGCGCCCTAGGAATGTGCATATCGCCTAAGGCCACACAGACTGGCTTTTCTGGGATGCACTGTAGGGAACTGAACTGCCAACCTCTGGTTTCACAGCCTGATACCAAACTCACGTTTTCAACAACTTTGAAGCATCTTTAAGATTTTATGCACAGAAGAAATATGGATGAATAAAGCTTGTAGAATTAGACAAGCTACTGTTGTCTGGACTAATTTTTCTCTGTTCACCAAAATAAAAACTGGTTTATTCTCATTCTCTGAAGAAAGATAGATCAAGTTTGGAAGCTATATTTTTGGCAGACCAGGCAGCAGACTCGATTGATTAGTTATTGCACCTTGACATTCCTGGTAAAAGATATATACCTCGATACCCAGATGAACTCTAATATAACTGTCATGTTTATTGGATTCACACTGATATTTAGCCCTTTTAGAGATAAATGTTAGCTGTGATGGACCAGTAGATGCTAAAATTACCAAGGGAAGTTATAAGTTCTATAGAGCTTATTGAGAATATTGAGTGTCATACTTTTGACCTTGACAGTTGTCTGTGAAAGATCCTCTGCCAGTGTCACCATCAGCTACCACTGCTGCCCAGTAGCTGCCCTCCAGAATCTTCTCCACCCCCATCACCCATGGAACTATTCTCTTCTGCTGACACATCCGTTACTCCTGAAGAGGGGGGATGCATTTTAGTCCGATGCCCCAGCTGTAAACATTCCACCCGAGTGGCCCTGCTAGGAATCTAGGCTTTTAATAGTCTGGCCTCCTGACAGCGTTGTTCTCAGTTTCTCTGACATGTTCAAACTGTCTTACCACATTAAAGTGTGCATTCAAGGGTTGGATCACCCATTTAAAGGGAATCAGGCAGCAGACAACACTCTGAGAGTCTCTGGCTGACAGGTGGTACAGAGAGGTTTTAATTAATTTGCCAGGGATTTTGAAGAATTGATATCAATTAGAGTTGAGCAGCAGAACTTAGAGAAGTTTCTTTTTCAGCGGATTCATGAAAGTACACCCCCCCCCCAAAAAAGAGAGAAATTTTTCTACCTCTCCATTCCTCTCAAGCTTCATCTAGCAATTGTTTCTTTCTCCTATCTCCTATTAGCTTTAAATGTAAGTCAACATTACATTTTTTCTGAAATTAACCAGTTAATTCTAACTAAACTGCCTTTAGCCAGGGTTTACAAGTCCACTTTCCAATCCCAGTTAAAATGGCAATCCCAGATCAGTATTCACAAAGATACAACACTAAACTATATCTACTTCTGAAATTAATTCTAACTAAACTACCTTTAGCCAGGGTTTACAAGCCCACTTTCCAACCCCAGTTAAAATGGCAATCCTAGATTAGTACTCACAAAGATACAACACTAAACTATATCTAAGGCCATCCAATCTATACATAGATAGCACATTTTTAAAAGGTGGGGAAAGAGTATGTATTCCTCAGCTTGGGTCACAAATTGCAAACTGCAGTTTGCAAGAAGCCAGATGTAGTTGTGCACCTGGGAAAGCATGTTTTCCCAGAGTTCACAACTGCCATCCTAAGTAATGTCTGCACCAATGTTTCAATGAAAGTGTAATACAAAGGCACCACCACAGACCTGAAATACACTTACCCATCCCCACTCCCAAAAGAAATTACATTATTTTCTATACCTGGAAGGGGCTGGATCATCTTGTCCAAGACGTGACATAATGTTGATCAAGGTATTTATGCCTGCAAAATGCAATGCTGTATTTAAAAACGGATTTCAAAAGACATAGGGTTTATCACTGAAGTTCCCTCTCATTCTGATCAAATATATCTCTTTGAGTCCTCAGACACACAGTCAATCAAGCTGATCATCTACCTTTATGTCCTTGCTGGCCAATGTTGCTCCTTTCAGCCATGTTTGTACTTTTGCAGAATAGCTGTCTGTCACTATAGATTCTCCCGATCAGTTTCAAACTTTCCTGTTACTGAATTTTCTTTCCCCCAGCTTTATGATTCACATCCTCCAGAAAATATGATCTGTCACTATCTAGAAGTATAAGATAATCTACTTCGGACACAAAGTAGGGTATCTTTTTCCCCCAATATGAAAATTCTCAGCCCTTGATGTATAGTTTTCTACATGCAGGAAGATAGTTTACAGAAAAAGATCAAAACGCTCTCAACTTCGCCTATACGGCAAAGTAATACAAGCCAAGAACTCTAGCGGTTCACTTTGCTATTTCCTTGTCCAATGGCTCAAACACTCAGGACAAGCGCAGAGGATGGATATGTTAAGACTGCAACTCCAAGATTCCAGGAGTTGTCATCTTTAAAAAAGTAACTTTTTGAAAGCAGTATCCAAGTATAAATTAGTGATGATAGGAAGAACAATAGAAGTATAACCCACCTTTTTTCCTCATATGCATATGGTGGACTTTCCTGTCTCCATACTTGGGCTGTCGGATCCCACAGTTTGATAAAGAATTTCTTGCGTGGTCTGGATTCATCCCAAAGTTTAAGTGATGGCTCGGATGGGTCATTGCAAGCTAAATTCAGAAATCAAAATAAAAAACAAATAAATCTGGAAATCTATGTTGCCCATTCAAACATTTAAAGATTTCACAAACAGAGCTGGTCACAAAATCCCACAAGATGCTAAAACAATGAAATGGGGGACTTCAGTATCTAACTTTTCCAAGAACTCAGAATTTTAGTTCTCATGAGACTCCATTCAAGTATACAATTCCCAAGTAAACATACCATGACTCACAATTATTTTTCAAAGGTTGCTTGTTTGATTTGGGGAAATTTACAAAGGGGGAAGAGGAGGAGGAGGGACTGGGTTTAACTCATAGGGCTCACAGAAAGGTTGCCCTTGCACATATTTGGAAATATTTCATGGTACAGGAGTTAAACTACAGTACTGCAGCCAATACTACACTTCATGACAGGGATTCAGTCCCAGATAACCAAATTGAGGTTCACTCACTGTTCCATCTTTCGGAGGTCAGTAAATTAAGTACCTAGTTCGTGAGGGTGGGGGGCAATATGTAGCTTGCATAATTAAATTGTAAACTACACAGAGAATGCTTATTTCTGTCTTTCTTTTTCTTTTGTGCTTCCCAGAACTCTGAGGGTCCTACAGAGAATGCTTATTTCTTTCTTTCTTTCTTTCTTTCTTTTTTGTGCTTCCCAGAACTCTGAGGGTCCTGCTCACAATACCCAGTTGGGATACATTTTCTATTACCAGGCCCCTCTCTACTTCCAAGTCTTAGCTTGGGCCCAATCAGCAGCAGCCTGAGGCAGAGCTGGAGAAAAAATTCTTTTTTTTTCTTTTGGGTGATAGCTCTACAAATACCCCAGCCACCATGGCCAGGCTGGCTGTGCGACTCAGGGAGTAAAAGTGACAAAAAGTAACTTTCCCAAATTCTGGCCTTGGCAGATCTGTGCCACATATATTCTAGTTAATGAAACACGGGCTGTTTCACTCCAGCTTCTACTTTCTAGCTTTGTCTATCTCTTCCTGATTTTTTTTTACCTGACTGGTTCCCACTGTTCTCCATCATCCCTTATTTTGTATGTACTACATTTATACCCTGCATTTTTTTTCTAACTAGCTTAAAGCACTGCTTCTCTTTCTCTCCAATTTCTCCTCATAACAATCCAATGTGATTGAGAAGCTGTCACAAGTCTAAAGTTCTCCAGTGTGCTTCATAGCTTTTGGGATCCTGAAGGTGGACATTGCACACACACACACGCACCGCAATCTAGTCCACTGCACTGGCTCTCCTGTGCCCAGTCAGTCTGCTCTCCATGCTCTGAGCCTACAACTCCATGAGTTTCAAGTGTTTGCTGTTCCAAATGCCTTTCTGGACTCCCTGATAGGCTGCATGTCTTAGCCGCCACCTATAGGTTGGGTTACTCAGAAATCTGGCTCCATTGCCCACGGGCTGATCCCAATACAACAGTACTTCCCTGCTTTTCTCCTTCATTTCACCCACAACAACACACATCTTCAAAATGCACCAACTGTTAAAGTACATGGACATTGAGCATTTGCTCACCTGTAGTAAACACCGGTCTTTGAAAGTATAGCCGATCAACTTATCCAAATGCATGAGGCATTGATGATACCGGATATGGTGAGTTAAGACAGGAAGCATCATGGCATGCTAGGGAAACAACACCTTTAGTCATTAATCTATATCTTTTGTCTTTGTCGTACTTATCTGCTTATTATTTCACTTCTATGACATGGTCACTCACACGTGCTTTAAAAATATTGTCATCCTAATAGCTCTCATGAAATCTTCCTCAAGAAGAACTAGTGGATTCATGACTGAGGTTGCAGTCTGAACAAGGGCATTCATGGCTTACTCACTTAGCTGCTTATACCAGCTCTCAAAGTAACCCTTAGAGCAATTGCACAGTAATTCTTAGAGGAGTCACGGACCCTCCCCAGCCCCATTGCCATAAAGAGAGAAAAAAGAAAATGGTGGAATCACAATTTAGCCTAAGGCAAGCAGCAAATCCACACATTAACCCCAATCACGCCAGAACACCCTTCATGTAAGTCCAGCCAAATTTAGAATTTAAGCATGAAAGCATTGGGGGGGGGGAACAAACTGGGGATAGGGGAGATCTCCCTCTCAACACCTCCATTGACTCAGCTCATGCCAGTGCAGGTTCATGAGCGAGGAATCCAAAGTTATCGTTTCAGACTTTCACTGCCAGAATACTAACACCAACTTGGCCATTCAATCTCTGGAGGGGGGGGAGAAAGGGGGCTTTGTACCTCCCTAGCAAAATTCTCCACGCACAGGCTCTGCACTCACTACATGTGCAAATGGTGCCCCTGGAACCTTGTTTACAATATAACAACAGGGGATGATACAAAATCATTAAGCTGGCAGTATTATAATACAGTGGTGCCCCGCATAGCAACGTTAATCCATTCCAGGATTAACGTTGCTATGCGGATTTGTTGCTATGCGGGGGGGGGACCCATAGGAAGACATTAAACTCTGTTTAATGTGTTCCTATTGGGGAAAAACTCACTGCTATGCAGGGAATCCTCCATCCAGCCGCCATTTTCGCCGCCCGGTAAAAGAGGGCAGGGCAGAAAAATGGTGCGGGCGGCCATTTTGTTGACCCGGTGGCCATTTTGGAACCGCCGATCAGTTGTTTATAAAACATCTCAATGCGAAGGTCAGTAAGCGAAACGCTTACCGATCATCGCAATGCGATGTTTTCCCTATCTAAAGCATCGCAATGCGATGGCATTAGCGATCGCAAAAACCGTGTCGCTATGCAGATTCTTCGTTAAACGGTGTGCTCGTTAAGCGAGGCACCACTGTACTTGAAGCAGTATGTTCCACTGGGCTTCACAGAAAAATAGCAGACCAGAAATTCCAAAGCACACTGCCATAAACAAGCTCACAGCTTTGATAAATACTTGTTCAATTTTAACACCTTTTAATCTGGTGGAAAGCAAAGCTGGAAAATGCCAGCAGAAAACTTCCATTATTATTATTATTTTCTCCTTTTGACCTCTCTTTGGAGAAATTTATCTATAGCTATACATCTCAAGGATGACTGATTCCGCAACATAGTGCATCCCTTGATCTTTAGCCCTTTGTCGCCCACCCACAGCACTGAAAAACAAACAAACAAGCCAAAAACAACAACTCCCAACTAAAGAAGACTATCTAGATAAACCACAAAGACATCTAAGGCCATGAACAATTCTTGCTTCTAAGTGGAAAAATATGCAGCATAACATGAGTTCCCCGCCCATGCTCTTGTCCTACAAGGACAAAGCTATTTAGAGGGGGAAAGATCATCTAGTAGATGAGGAAAATGGCATTTATTTGAATTCCAGCTTCTTTGCCTCAGTCTCGAACAATTAAAAACAAGCAAACAAAAAGGAGAAAATGAAGTGCTTTAATTAATCCTCTTCCTGCCTCCTGTTACTTCCAACTAGGCAAAGAAATTCCTTGGAAGAAAGACCCACAGAAGGGATGCGGAACTTTGATTTTTAAAAAAACTTATACAGAAATCCCAAATCACTAACCTGTCATACCCTCACATGTACAAACAGCCTTTCTGCCTTTGCAAAGGACACATAAGGACGTGTTTGACTCACCTGACAGACATCAGAGCGAATGCCGGTTTTCCAGAACCCTTGGCTGCTCAGTTCAACGGTCACTTCGCGCCGCATGGTGTTCTTCTGCCTTATCTTCTGCAATGCTTCCTTAGAATAATATGAACAGAATGTTATTCTGAAGATCACTTTAAATTTCCCTGAAATGTACTAAGCAGGAATGGGGAACATGAGATCCTACAGATATTGTTAGGTTGGAAATCTCATCACCTTTCACTGTTCGGTATGCAGGTCCTGGCCTAAAAGGAGGAAAAAGTTCAATCGTGACTGGAAAGCTACATGCTCCTCACATGTTGGGTTCCGACACACCACCTCGAACATACAGACCTAGTCTGATTCTAGAAGTTAACCAGGGCTGGACCTGGTTAATAGTTGGATGGGAGACCACAAGGGAATCAAGGGAAATGCCATGTAGACCTAGGGAAGAACCTGGCTTGATTCCCTGGACAATTTCTGCCAGCTGGTGTGAAGAATACGAAGTGAGATAAATCAATGGTCTCCATTACTACCACACTGCAGCTAGAAAACTGAGAGAGAACCCACTGTGTTCGAGACAGAGGGGAGATTTGAACCAGAGAATTTTTCATGAGAAAACCAATAAGCCCAGTTGATAAAATCTGAGTTCCATGCCACAATAAGTAATAAATGTCAAAAGCAGCATTCCCTACTTTTGCTACAGAATATAATACCCACAAGCCCTATCTGCTATATTTTTAACTCAGCCATTACTCTCTAGAGAGAGATTTTTTAAAAAAACTAGTCTTCCATTAATGCTTCACTGTAACATGGAAAAGCTTTTCTAAAGCTGAAGATAGTATCTGTGGTAGAAAAAAAATCATTCTTCAAATGATAACACAGAGTTTTCACCAATCTATTGCATGCAAAAGGAAGCCCACAGCTGTTTTTGTGAAATTAACAAGCAACCCTGTTGTTTTTGTTAGCTGCCGCCAAGTCAACTCCGACTTATGGCAACTCTGATCAATGAGCAATCTTCAGAGTTTACAAGACGCAAACTCAAGACTATGGTTTCCTTCAGGAAGTCAATCTATCTCATATTCCGTCTTCATCTTTTCCTGCAGTTTTCAACCTTTCCCAGCATTATTGTCTTTACCAGAGTATTTTGACTTTTCATAATATACCCAAAGTAGGACATCCTCAGTTTCATCATTTTTGTTTACAAAGACAGTCAGGCTTGCTTTGATTTAGGACACACTTCTTCATCTTTCTGGTAGTCCAGGGTATCCAAAAAGCTCTCTTACAGCACCACTTTTTAAACGTATCTTTTTTTTCATGGCAGCTTTCTTCACTGTCCAGCTTTCTCACCTGAACATAGCAATCAGGAATACAAGAGTGGGGATGATCGTGGCCTTGGTCTCCAGTGACACACGCTTTCTCTTGATGGTCTTTTTTATCTCTTTCATTGTTGCCCTTCCTAGTCTCAGTTGTCTTCTGATTTCTTGGGCGTACTCTCCATTTGCATTGATGACTACTCAAAATCTTTCACTATTTCAATTTCTTAATTGTCAACATTGAAGCTGTGTATTTCTTCTGTAGTCATGATTTTTGTCTTTTTAATCTTCAACTGCAGTCCTGCTGTGGCACGTTCTTCTCACACTTTCACTAAAGTCACACTTTCAAGTCACTGCTGCTTTCTGCCAGTAAAATAGCATTATCTACATATCATCACTTATTGACGTTTCTTCCACCAATTTTGTCTCCTCCTTCATCCGAAACTAGTTTGGTTTTCTGTATGATATGTTCAGTGTACTGACTGAACAGATAAGGGGATAAATACACCTTTGACTGACACCTTTGCCCATAGGAATCCATGCTGTCTCTCCACATTCTGTCCTAACTGTAGATTCTTGTTCACAATACAGATCACACATCAGGACAGTCAAATGCTGAGGCACGAGCATTTCTTTCAGAACTCATAGTTTCTCATGATCCACAGTCAATGAGTTTGTTGTACTCTATAAAGCATAGACTCATCTTCCTCTGAACTTCTTTGGTGCTCTCCAGTTGCCAATGGATATTTGCAATATGATCTTGAGTGCCTCTTCCTTTTTTGGAATCAAGCTTGAACATCTGGCATTTGTTGCTTCATATAAGGTAAAAGCTTTTGTTGCAAACCTTTTACTTCACTTTCCTGACCTCCAAGCCGCCCTGCAAATACTTAAATGAGAGGAAGTAGTAGTTGGTCTTCAGTATGAGAATACTGGGTTGTACTTCAGAACAATTATCTACAGGATTACATTGTCAATGCAACTAGAAACAAGGTATGAGCCTTATGCTCCCTGTTTATTCAACATGCAACTACTGTTAGCAATAAGGCCCACCAAGGAAGACAGTATACAATGTATGGTAAATACTGAAAGCCAACCACTACCGTGTCAGAATGTGAAACAAAATGACAACAGTATTTTGTTCTTCTTGCTGTTTTTTTTAAAAAAAGAAAAAAGAAATGCTAACATGTTTTAAGGACTTAAAGTTTACAGAGTTATAATGATGCCAGTCTTTCCATCTTCATGTCCTGATGCCTCGAGGAGGAAACTATGACCTTCCACATGATGTCAGATTACAACTGCCATCATGCCTTACCCTTGGCTTTGCTAGCAAGGATTGAGGAGAGCTCCAGCCTGTCAATATCTGGAGGATCTCGTGCCACCCCAGCCCATTTCTACAAGGGGATTCTGACGGTGCAGATGACCTAAGAAATATGCTTCTCAGGTGCCTTCAAGCCCACCACACTTTTTCTTCTTACACTAAAGGGTGTTCTAAAAGTAGGATGTGACACCACATACTGTTCTCTTATTAAAGAAAAGATGAAGATCAAGAAGGTATTTGGTTCTATAATAGCCTTTATGATCTGTGGAGTTTTTATCGACTTTTA